ACCAAACATTTACTCTGTTTGGCTGTGTCTCGCTCTAATCATGGCTATTAAAGCTAAGTATGGCTAGAATCACGCTTGATTCTCGCTCTGTTCAGCCTCAAAGTTTCGTACGGGCTGTTGCACTGCATACATACTACCATAAAACGATTCCTTATTATCATCATCGATATCAATAGCTTTAACATATTTCTTATTCCTATGATTATTCTTAACAAATGAATAATCTCTACCTTTAGCAGATTTCATGCAATTCTGTTGTTGTGTTACTAGTTGTAAATTACGCAAACGGTTATCTTGTTTATCACTATTAATATGATCAATAACTTTACCATCTTCGATTAACTCATTATAACATTCCCATATAAATCGGTGTGAATAATATAATTTTTGAACAGTTTCTCCATTCTTCCTAACAGCTACTCGTAAATATTCGTTATTCCCAATTAACTCTTTCATAGTATTCATCCTAATTATATTGAAAATCTCACCATCTTCACTACCAGCATACCTATCATAAACTGGATGCATATTATATGATTTTCCATCGATAATAATTTTATCTCTCAATTTTTCAGTCATAATTAATATATGTTTTATTTCTTTAAGCCACTTTTATATATAATTTTTTTCTTTTTACTCAGCATAGGAAACCTAGGATGTGAACCTAGCATAGGAAATAAGTTTTTAACAAGCATAGGAAACCTAGCATAGGAAACCTTAAGTCTTTAACCTAGAACAATTTGGATTCCATTTTTGTCTCCCATTTTTGGATTCCATCTTTTAGTCGTTAATAATAACCAGACAATATTTTAATCGGGTAATACCACCCCTAAAAACCAGCTGGAAAATCAAAAAATAAAATCTATGGCTAAATTGTGTCCGAACTGGCCAGTGCCCTCTACTCATGTACATCTTGTCATTGTTACTACCTTTTGAGTGCTTCTAAGATCTTTTCGGCACTGTCATACTGACTGACAACATGGGTGACACTTCCACTGGAGAGTAAAACAAAACAAATAAATATAAGATGAGTGTTATTTTTGAAAAAAAAAAGGGAAAACATTTATGCCCAAGCTAAAGAGGTCTATTGGCCAGTGGCGGACCCAGAATGATTTGTAGGGGGGTAACTGTTACGTAGAAAGGCATTACACAGTGTCCTTTTTAGATCCTACCTTTTATACTTTATTCTTATATTATTCGACTCCAAAGGGGGTATCTAGTCACCCAATTCAACCCCCCTGGATCCACCCTTGTTTGCACTTAAGCATATGTACACAACAATAAATCATATATAGTCACGCAATAATTAAGGCAATCCTTTCCCTTGTATTTCAGGTTCATTTTGTAGAATGTGTGGTCCCAGAAAATATCCATATGCCACCATGGAAGGAATCGGAAATTCTCAGAGGGTGGGGGGGTCAGAGGAAAAACGAAATTAAAAGGTTGGTTTATAAGGAAGAAAATTAGATATTCCAGAGGCCAATGGGGGAAACTTTTTTTCAATTTTCCTCCATGGTGGCAGTGTACGTGTGTATGGGTATTTTTTGGAACCACACAATTAAAGAAAGTGTAGTGAATTAAGCCCAAGCCTCATCATGCAAAATTCGTCGATGCTCGCTAACAGGGATATACAAAACAAATCAGACTTTTTCTCGAGAGAAATTGTGGCATTTCTTTTGTATTTTCATGTTATATCGTAATAAGGTCAATTTTAAGAAGAGTCTATTGAGCCCATGCAACCACTAAGATTCGCCTTTCAAATATATAATTATTACTATATACTATACTAAATATTCGTCACACTGAACTTCAGGAAAATTTCCTAACCTGAAGCTCTCCTCGACAACAAATCCTTTCTTACAAGCAGCCTTTTTCAAAATATCCATTCTTGTTTTCTGTATTCTTTGTGGCAGGATATAGATCCGTATATCAGGATATTTAACCTCATTTATCAAGTGATCTTCAAGATCACTCCTCTTTCTCTTTAACACAGATGCCATCTTGTTGTTCGACAATATTATAGTTCACTTCCGCCACAGGCAGCCCAACCTTAGTTTTCATCAAAGCCATTTCAAGTACTGATATTAATGCAAATAAACAAGAGAAAATAACGAGTGGAGTAAAAATTCTTGTCATGAAACTTTTCCCTGGAGACATTTTTAGATCGAAAAAATAAACTTGATTTTTCCAATCGACCTTGAACTTTTTGTTTATACACCTAATTGAAAAAACGTCGGGTTTAAAAACGAAGCTAAGACCAAAGGGGAGCATGGGAAGACAAACAATTATGCTAATTTCATGCGTATTGCAGTTTTCCCTTCCTGTGC